GGGAACGATGAACGGTGGAATCACTCGCGAAGCACGTGAATATAACCTCCCTGAGGATTCGCCATTTCGGCCCAACCTTTTCTTGAGAATTCTCGGACGGAATCCAAACTAACTTAGATGTCGGTCGGGTCCCAACTAAGCATTTTACATGAAAGTCAAGGGTGTGGCGCATCCCGGAACTTCAATGACGTGATTTCCTTCGTCTTCATCTTTCATATTTCGTTCCAAATTCGTCCATGAGATGACGCATTCCGTTCGAAGTTGATTAACATGTGGGCGTCGTGGTGTATCGGAGGGGTCATATTTCATGACGACGGCCCTTTAGAGGACATTCGAGGCTCCTCCTCAGGTCTTGTGAGCAGAAGGCAAATAAACAAAAACTTTTGTTCTCCATATAAGGCCACTAGTCGAAGATGTTCCATATTACAATGAAGCGAATCATTCTTTCGACACTATATTTTCCATTTCATTAGGCATAATCTCCCGCTGGGATGCGCCATGCACTCGACTTCTGAAAACTTCGGTTCTTAACAGTGCTGGACGTCGCTGCTGGCTATTACCTTCCTTGGCTGAAAAAAATTGAAAAGAGAAAGCACACATTTTGCTACATGTTCCGGACTTGTTGTTACTTTTCCTTGAGGTGCCTAGGGAAAGATTTACGATGGTTCCTTTTACATGTCGTTATAGTTGTGTAATAAACCAGCACTAAATGCTGGATATTCCTTTTCGTGCTACGTGCCCTTCTTCCTTCAGATTCTTCTAGCTGACGATTCTTATCATTTTCGAAGGCGACATGGAGCCGATCGTTTCGCTAAGGGAACGTACATCTGGGCCCTTTCATGTTTTGACTGATTATGACCATACAAATTCTAATACTTTAGCGTTTCTTGAGGCTTAATTGCACTGTTCTTATTTATTTGTCGTTTTCTCCCTTCCTTTTCTCCATTCTTTCCTTCTAAATGTAATCTCCTTAGCTCGTTTGAAGGTTTTTGCTGTTTTCTCCCGTTTTTCTTTTGGAGCAAGATCACAAAAGAAGTCTTAGGAGCTCGTGATAAACCCTATGGTCAAGAATCGTCCTTATTTCGCGAAAGAAGTTTAGAGTTGGGTTTTACAGTAATTATTATTGCTAATTGGAACGAATCAAGAGTAGCGTAGCGGTAACAAACGATTCCAGTATGATGAGCGACCTCACATGGGAAATTTCAATGTTTTCTATGGCGCTTTTTGTTTTTCTCCCCTCTAACTTTCCTGATCACACATCTTGTCTGGCTCTCAAACAAAATGAGGCACCATTTCGATCCCAACCTGTGCGTTTTGAGTGCGAAAAATGGTAGGGTTGGCGCTACATAATCGCACCCGTGGCAATCGCTCCATAACGACAAAGACCGAAATGCGCATGGCGCATCCTATATGCCACATATGACCAGCACATCATTCCCTCCTATCCTTCAATGTGCGCACAACATTCAAATCTTCCGCTCTATTCCATGAACTTCTCTCTGTCTACTATTGGCTCACTTCGACAGATTGTCCGTGTATTTTCTCACAACCTTTATTGGCTACAGTAACCCGGTGAATTCCAGTCGAGAGCCGGTGCTATGCGGTGAAATACGCGTTCCCCGAGCGTTCCAATGTGCGTCGTTGTCTTGTGCTCAGTATGAACCGCGCCCTGCTCGTCTGCGTCTCTGTCGTTCTCACGCTCTCTACGCAAGTGTCTGCGTTCCTGCCACTCAGCCCTCACGAGCTCGACATGATACAAAAAGGTAAAGAGTCAGAGGAACTACACTGGTGTGCAAAACTTAAGGACGAGACAGATGAAGTATCATAACCTTTTGATAGCTTTGTGGACCGTTTAACGGTTCCTGTTAACTGCTTTCTTTAGTGCCCTGTGGCAGCTCTTTGTATGTGTGGTTAGGTTCCATAGAGTCATGTTACGCGCCAGTAACACGTCGTTGGAAAAGCTACGTTCGTCCCTAAGTTTTGCACACCAGTGTAATTAACGAGTTCCTAACACAAAGATTTTTAGAAAAGTTCACCAACCGTACCTCTCTCTACAAAAAAATCTATCACGTCATGCAGATGCCAAAGTCATTTTCGTCAAAAAAATTTCAACTCATCTGAATATTCCAGGTTTCCTCCGTCGATTCGGCTTCAGCGATGTACCGAACCAATCGGGCCCAGCTCTGCCCATACCGGATCACGTATGGGATATCTACGAGAAAGCAAAAGAGGATGAAAATATAGACTGGATACGACATTACTATCCAAAAGTGATGTCCAAAATACCAACAAATACGCGCTAGCTTGCCTAGATCGACGGCTGAGACGCAGCAAAATGTCAAAAACTCGCTTCTCTGGCACTCTCCTTTGTGTTTTAGGAACCTGCTAAGCTGAACTCTGGCCTGCTCGTTCGTACAACCTTTCCGCTTCAGTACGAACGCGGCCCATGAAGAGGTTACACGAGCAGACCTGAAGATTCGAGTGCACTCCGCTAAGCGGCATTCCTCTCAAATAAACGTCTATGAGCTCGACGAGAAGCATCCAGAGGTAAAAGCTGCGGGAAAATCGTTTTTGCCGAAAAAAATCGATTACGATTATAGATACGAAAGGTTAGTCGACCACGCAGCTGGGGTCGTCCGCTCCTTCATGCAACACGAACAAAGTCCGAGCCGGTCGTCGCTCTCAATGCAACACGACAAAGTCAGTGGTTTGACTTTGATGTCACGTCGGCCTTCCACTCACCACGTAGCGACCACGATACGGTAAGGGTACGGTAGTGACTTTTAAATGATAAAATGGCATAAAAATAAACTTGAATAAGAAATAAAGTCATAGTTTTCTGCATTTCTTACTCCTGGCTCCAACCCCACTTAGACTTTACAGCGCATGTTAATGGCTTAAAATGTGGCCTTTTGATCGCTACAAATATAAATATGAAACTAATCGATAAATCGATTTTTTGAGCGACCAATTACTCCCGTGTTTGAAACATAATATTTAGTAAAAAAAAACGGTAAGGGAGTATGCAGGGAAATGCGGAATGTCTGTTTCCCTGTTTCGGAACGTTTATAACTCAGTAATTGGGATACTGTGCAATTGCAGACATCATTTTCATCTACCGTATCCTCAGCGTCGAATTTAAGGTTGTCTTCCTTATTGAACATCCGGGCGTGGACGTCTACACGTCTGAACCACATTCCATGTCTGCGGTTCCTTTCACCCGACATCAAAGTTTTCCTCTCATTGTCTACAGGTATGCTTTGCGACTCTCTCTCGATTTTGGATACTGTAGCCGGTCCTGAAGCGAAATTTCAGTTTCTATTTTACTACTGTGAAGGGATTTATTTCATCATGTAGGCTACCTCTGTCATAAAATGTACATACATTTAATTTCTTTTGCTACCGTTTCCTGAAAACATCGCTCAGGGCCGGCAAAGAACGAATTTACGGCGTGTTTATTTATCTTCGCTGTAAGATTACACGTACATATCCGAGTGTTCCACTGTTTGCAGCGCCCTGAAGGAGCCGTCGCGAGTGCGGCGAAAACGCGCCGCAGCACCGCCGCGACGCGATCGAAAAAAGCAGCGCAAGCAGCATCATCGTAACGCGACCGATAGTGGTATTTGCCAGAAAAAGGCGCTCTATGTGGATTTCGAGGAAATCGGTTGGCAGGAATGGATCTTGGCACCGAGTGAGTTGAATATTTGAACTATATCTTCATTTCTATCGTGTTTCTCTCTGGGGAGAGAAAATGGCGCTCGAACGCTGTGCTGAACGCTGGGATCAACTCCCGCTTAGGACAACAAAGCCCTCTATTTTTCGATACGGGTTATTTTACCTGCAAAATGCTGATGGGGGTCATCGCGGTGGCACTGCACTTGAAAACTGCGTAAAACATCTTATTGTTTTGTTGGACGATCGGGCCTCGGATCTTAAGGCGGGGCGGTGAGACCTGCCAAGTTCTGATGACTGCTCAGTCCTTCTATGTTCCTACCCCTCCTAAACCCAGTCTCAGAGGAAGGCCCCGAATCTCACGATAGCGCCCAGATATCGTTGCATATATGGAAGTTATATTTTGCAAAGCTTGTTACTTGGAACCAGGTCGACCCTACCGTTGGCTTTTTCTCAGGAAGCTCCCCAATACGACCACGTTTCTTTGGGCGGGGGGGGGGGGTTACATGTTATCTCCCGCAGTACACCACTTTCACCTCCGTTTTCCACTTGTAAATTCTTAAGAATAAAGCGAGTACACCCGCCAGGCTCGTCCAAAATCACGACCTCTTAAGTTTGTTAATTATGTCGCAACATAGGGTAGACCTGCTTGGAACCCTTGTCCCTTGTCCTAACGGAGTTTTTCGCTTCCTGAAACTGGTCCATAAGGTCCGCCAGAAATTCGACAAAGGACTGCATCCATTCACAAATCCAGGAAATATTCTTTTCATTTTCCCAGAAAGCTACGAAGCTGGCCAGTGTGTCGGTGTATGTCCACATCCGTTGCCGTCGCATCTGAATGCTACAAATCATGCCATTGTGCAGTCATTAACAAACTCATTGAATCCACAGGTACTCGTTTTCCTTCGTCTCTGAATGTATTTCCGGAAAAATCTTCAAAAATAATTCAAATTCCGCTCTTGGCTCATGTCGTTGTGGCGGGACACGCAAGTAAGGTGAGCCACTTAGTTTCTGGGACCGAGCCTGAGAGAGGGAAAGGGGTTTTGAGGGAGGATTCAAGGCATTTGTGTTCTTCCTATCGTTTGTCCCCTCTCCTGAACTTCGCACCAAGGCATCTTGCCATCGCTTCTGTTTTGAATGCCCCCCCCAAGCCATTAGCCTGTGCACTTACGTATAGAAGAAAATCGCGGATATCGTTCATCGACACTTGTTACACTCCTTCCCCGCATGAATGCGTCATTGTGACGACTAGAGCAGCAGACAAAGTCAGGGTACCCGACAGGAGGCCCGTCGCTCGGCAAGAAGTCAGGGAGGCAGACGGGTCAGCGAGCGTGCCGTGCGATGTGGTACGGCTGTAGTACTTGACGTCAAATTGCCAGAGTGCCGCCGCGACTCGTCCGCTGATCCCATCTACGTCACTGCCTTCTCCCGCGCGATGGGCCTCCTGTCGGATGCCCAAAAATTCAAAAATCATTTTGTGTGGACATAGACACGAGGGCCGAGCAGGAGGCTCAAGGAACGAAGTGTACGTGTGAGACCATTTCCCTGTATTTAGGTGGAAGTGTCGTAGGAAAGAATTGACCTGGCCCATTCATCAACTGCTCTGTTTCGAGGGTTTCCAAAAATTGATGTGTCGATTCAGATTCCACCACCGTGTTGTGTACCAACCGAAACAACACATCTTTCAATACTATTTTTGGATGTTGATAATAAGTGGGTTCTGCTGTTACTCCTTCATCAATGCTTTTCTAGCAAAATTTTGTTTTGTTCTTATTTTTCTTTCATTTTCAGAATTATCATCAAGAATTATCCAGATATGCGGGTCGAAGCTTGCGGGTGTCGCTAAGGTATGAGTTCTTGAATACAAATTTTTTATGAAGCGTCCACTGTTCGCAAAAACTCCCACCTTCACTTTCGGCTCCCTCCGAGTCGGGCTCTCCTCCGCAGGCGTCAAGCGGAAGCTCACATATGGAAAGACAACCCACTAGGACTTTAGGTAAGGGAGGGCTATTGATAAAGGGAATGAACAAAAATTAGGAAGAACGGCCTAGAAACCGGAAAAGGAGACCTCCTTTTCCTGTTGATTTGCGCGGTAGGTGACTCTCATCGGTGCTGCCCTCTTCAACGCTAACGCTCTCTCTCTGCTAGAGCACCATTTCTGGCTAGGCCATTTTTTTTTTCCCTGCAGTTTTCCCTAGTGTTAGGTTCTGAAACCATTCGACACAGCCCAACTCTGCCCGCTTCAAAACGGCCTTCAAGCGGAGGGGGCGAGGTGAGACAAATTAGTCTCTCAAAGCAGCGAAGCTCTAACTTTTTGCCAAATTGACCACTCCATGCTTACTTTTTTAACATTCTCAAAAAAACCTCTACAACAACCACTCTCCCTCAAACCACGACCCCATCAGTTCCACAGATACGGAGATTTCGTGGGAAATTCTCCCACTTCTTGAAGCTGTTTCCATTTCCCTATTTCAATACTAAGCGTTCAAAACGCATAGATTGATGTCATAAAGGGTGGCACAATCCCCTCTAAACAAAACGCCTCTCGCTTTCGGGAACACTCTTCATTTAAACTGGATTTGTGGATGGCTGACCCTAGGGAATGAGCGAATTTCCGTATTTACTCTTTCTGTTTTTCCCGTTCAAATAAAGACCGCCCAATTACTGACAGTTGAGAAACTCGCAAGACTGGCTGGTGGTCAGCATAACCTGGCTGCAGTATTCCGCTATGTCCTGGCCCTGTTAAGGCCTTTGTTTCACAGAATTCGGCACTTTAAAGTCAAAAGCGTGCTATTCTGACCTATGCGGGGGTCGACATCATCGATACTCCAAGCTCTAGACACGTGGTGGTGCGAACTTCACCTCTTTCAGAGCACATTCCGCGATCGGATAGGCGATGGAAGTAGCGCCTAAGAATGGCCATTGTTTCATACTACAATTTAATAAAACGGAAGAAAAACTGCTGACATTGTCAAACCACAACACGGTCGGTAATCGTGTGGGCGGGGTTTGCACCCTACCCGCGAGAATTTCATTGGTTAGACCTTGCTCTTAACATGACCACCTACGATAAAGTACGGTAAAAGCGTAGAACCAAAGAGTGAGATTACCGCAAAAGCGATGCGTAAACTCCACCCATAACTAAGGTGCACGAGGCGATTTTAAGAAGTCAGCACAATTTCTGCTCTCTTTCGTTGCTAGGTGGATCACTCACCACAGCCGTTCTCATTGTTGCACGCCATGACCTACACCTTTTTATTGCGGAGTGTGCCTTTAAATTCTTACTCCCATATTCTCATTTCTCACTCACGGATTGAAATTGTGTTTTCAGGCTTGTCCACGTCGTTCGGCACATTCAACAGTGTCGCTCTGGCGTCTCTCACGGTTACGTACGTCCCTAATAATAACAAAAACCACCCCCGAAGAGCTGTTCAATTTTTCGGAAAAATCTGAATTTTTTTGAAATTTAATTTTCCTCGTGTTTTTTTTTCGTTTAAATTCCCTCATGCTGCCGTTCTGTTGTTTTCACTCACACAAAACTCGGGTTTTCGCTTGCGAATTTCATTTTATGATGACGATGATGATTTATGTAGATTTCCTCCTTTCCTTCATTCATTCATTCTATCCGTCTCTCCATCTCTTACATCAGTATTTATTTAAATTATTAAATAATTCATATTATGATATTTTTATGAGCCATGTACTTTAATAATCTTAATGATTTTCTATTGGTGTTTAGTGTGTCTCGTCGTCGTGCTTATATGATAAGCAATAGTTGATCCCCTCGTACTTCTGAGGATTCCTCTCGGTTTGAAGCCAAAGCTCCCCATAGAGTTCAAGCTCGTTCTGATCTCAACAAACGAATTTTCTGTCTCAATGTCTATTTCATATATAAATCTGTGTAGAATATATTTGTTCCTTTTTTATTGATTTTTAGCTGCAGCAAATATTGATTGCATTGTGATATTAAGTAAAACGCTGTGTCTCTGTGGGTACAAATTCCAATTCTAATAGAAGAAATTCCACTATTAACTAGTCCAGGAAGCATGTCAGAGAATCGAAAAGCGCCCGTTGAACCAGGTCATGGGAAGTCACGCCCAAGGTGGGCGGAGTTTCAGGCCATGGAAAACTCCGCCCATCTGGGCGTGGCTTCCCATGGCCTGATTGGGTGTCTATTGTTTCGTTTGATCAACGCTATTCGGTTTCCAGCTGAATCTAGCCGCTACAGAGTGTAATTTTTGACCCAAAAAGGCCAAAACTCCGTCGGCGGGGGGAGGGGGAAGGCACATCTCTCGAGGGAGGTCTCCTGCTCTTCGCCTTCATATTTTTTGATTTCAAAGGATTTTTTAACACAAAACTCCGTCCAAAAGTAAACGTTACAAGTAATGACATCGAAAATTGTAGAAATTTGATCTGTTTTGTGAATTGCTGGTTTCTCAATAACGAACCCTTCCTAACATTTCGCCTATTCCTTTCCTCCCGAATGACGATTTGTGGCTTTGGTGACTTTTCCTGCTTGCGTTGTCCATTTCTGATTGTGTGGTATTTGTCTGTATGCACTGATAAAAATTATTTCATTACCGATTTCAGAAAAGCAGCGCTGTAAAAGCGCCATGCTCAGCATAAAGACGCATTCCGCGGGTGTCCCCCAAGAGGCCCATCGCGCGGCGAAGGAAGAGACGCAGACGCGGCAAAGGACGAGTCGCAGCGCATACTGTAGCGGTTAGGCGTCAGGTTAAATAGAGTGTACCATACTACGTCTCATATCGCACAGCACGCGCTGCGACTCGTCCTTTGCCGCGTCTGCGTCTCTTCCTTCGCCGCGCGATGGGCCTCTTGGGGGACATTCCATTTCGCGAGTTCATGCTGGTACGTCGAACTACTGTCAACCGACACGTTCGCGTTTTCAAAATTTTGCGACTTCCCTCCCCCTCCCACCTTGGGCGGGTGAGGGTCTTGATACGGCTCCCAACACCACCATTAGCCTCAGAAGGCTCCTCAAATACCAACGGCAGGGCTCAACGCCGACCACCCCCTCGGTCATCATGCGCTGTTCTCAGAGTACTTGATTCCTGAGACTGGTCGACATAGCCCAACTCATGTCCGTTTTCCTCTGAGACGGGCCAGCGAGGGGAGCGGATGTCAATGTCTATTTTCGGAGTGAGCAGGAAGACTTCCCATTCTTATCCATTCCACGCTTCCCTATTTGATGTTTTCGCTGAAAAGTCCGGTCGAAAAACCCGGCAAAACGACCCTCCAGCTTTCTTAACACACAACCCTTATTCACATTTTTCCTAGGCATGGCTAACCTTACTCAAGCCCAAAACGAGTCTCCACAAATCACAGATGTGGCCTCTCGCTTAGATAGTGGCGTCTACGGATGGTGGGACCTGCGCGGAACTAGCAACTTGCAAGCAGCGCGAAAAGATAAGAATAGTCGCCGGAAAAGGGAGCGCAACACTGATATGTTGCAAATTGAGAAAAAAAGGCAAGCGTTTGAAGCAGTCTTGGCACATCGAGTAGCAGTAGGCAGCGTTTGAGAGCCTGTCCACAAAATGGAGTGATCCATCTGAACTCATCGGGATGTGTGATCTTCATAGGAAAGGCGATTCGTGCCAAAGTCAGAGAAAAGTAGCGCAGAATGGAGCAATGATCACTTTCCAAAGGAGCCGCGTGCCTTCGCATCGCCTAAACACGTGAATGCTGCGGCTTTCCCCTTTGAAATCTGATCTGTCCGAATTTTGGCCATTCCACTTCTCGTCATCTGCTCTATCAACAACAAACCTGGAACCCCGAAATCTTCACACGAGGTCATGGGTTACCCTAGTTAAAGCTGGACTGTTCAAAAAAGGCCCCCAATTTGAAAAAATTCAATCACCACATAGTCCACATGTGTTGGACAGGTTTTTATAGTTTGAAGGGATACTGATCAGGACTTCTTCGCGTTTCGTAGTCTCCACGCACAAACAGGGGTTGAATCAATCGGAAATTCCCAAACCAATTTTTAGTTCTAAACATTTGGATGAGCTGCCCTAGGGTAACCACGGACGTAACCCATAAATGTTTCTTGGTTGTACGGTTACCGACAGAGGCCCGCGTGGCGGCAACACGATGAATAGAATTGCCACTGTAAGCGTCCTACGTGCCCATCATCGCTGCTACTCGTAGACTTACACTATCTTCTCGCCGCGCGACGGGCCTCCTGTCGGTTACCTTGAGGGACGTTGCACCCGTGCTTGCGGTGCGCTTTCGATTGCGCGCCCCGTTCTCGATGTAGCGCTCCAATGCAACGCGGATTACAGTGGAACGCGGAATTCACCATACTGCAGTATCTTCTTGTAGATTGATATGGGCTTTATGGGTGTGTGGAAGAATGAACGAGGGTTTTATCCAAGTGATAATACTGATATATCATCAACGTCGACAAATTTCATGCAGTAGGCCTCAGTCGTACGTCACACGTCCCCACAAGAAGTAATGGCTTTGTCGGTATCTCGCACAAGGGAAGACAACTCTGGGAAGATTCGGAAAGCGTCGCCGAACGGAGCGCAGACATCGGAGGCGGAATACCACGAGTGGTGAAGATACCAAGTAACATTTTCTCATTGAGTCATGCTAGGGTTGACAGTCAGATCATAGTGTTCAGAGAAGACGATCCCGGTGGAAGATCCGTGAATATCTCGGTTATGCAACAGGACATGCCTAAACTGACGAAGGCGGCCCGGCGAGCTCAGGCAAGAATTCTTTGATAGCATCAGACAATCGTTTCGGGCATGAAAGAACATGGAAACGTGCAGCCCGAAGGGGTAAACAGTCCCAGGGAATTCGATTCCAGATCAGATCGCGAGAGAAGGGTGCTCAGGGTTCGAGCTTAGGTCCGCAGAAACAACCCAACCCACGAGCTTATGAACATGTTCTCTTGACGACCCCCATTGCACGTTCCTACTAAATAATCGCCATCCGCGAAATCGCGAAGCCTGCACAGGCTAGCCCACGCATCTCAGCCCCTGCGTTTATGATGTGCTCATTGATTTTCGCGCACGTTTGATCGAATATTTATCTTCGTAAGCATGCGCTCACGAGCATTTTTGAGGAGAAATGCGGTTATCCAAACGAGGCCCTTGAGTTCCATAGAACCATTTAACCAGTGACGTTTTAAGCTTTCTGACCTACGCTTTGTGAGCAAAGTATGGCGAAGAATTGAATAAGAAGTATGTGCATTTCCCGCGCCGCAGAAATCAGATATCCATTTCCTGTGCCATACGTTGATACACTGGGTAAGAATGGGTAGACAGCCAAATTGAACATTCTGTGCCGGAATGTACTTTCAATGGAGATGTACTGTAGATGGTGCTCATCTTCAACACGGCTCGTGGCGCAGCAAGTTAATAGCGCTAGCACTATCAAACGAATGGAGGTGAATGGCCGAGAGCAATGTAGGGCCGTTCGCATTCGTGTGGTCATGGATCGATTCCGGCCAAGGGACCTGGATCAGAATTGCCTTTACGCCAAATTGTTTTTCCATTGATTTCTCTTGTGGCACCGTGTCGGTCAAGCATCGGTACGCAATCTCCTCAGTCGGTATCGATTCAGCAACTACTAAGCAACCACCGATTCCATCGATGCGCTCTACCAATGCGAATGGAGGTGGAAAAGTGATCAATTGGGTCTTCGTATCGAAGCCGTCTGGTGATCGAACGGTTGGTCACTCTGGTGGCCAGGCCGACCCTTGTCGGATGTTCTCCCTTCCGACAGGACGCGGTCGCTAGATGAAACATGCGTTGCTAGGCCTGCCTTCCGAAGCAGGAACCTGGAAAATTTCGCACCTACATATAACAGTAGCCATAAGAACGGCTGAGCCTACTTGTTCCAGTGGATCAGTGGTATGGCGGGCGCCGCACGCCTGCAGAGAGATGGGATCGCATCCGCCTAGTGCACCAGTTTGCTCGCCATCAATCACTATCGATATAAGCGTGAGAAACTTATCTGCCCAACCTCACCAGACCGAGTATGTTTCAACTCTAAGCTGGGCACTATTCCAAGCTTTTGTTTCCAGCGGGTTGGTTTGTGACAGAGGGCTTACAGATGTCGGACTGTGATGGTGTACGTACCCCCGGATGCGGGTCTCGGATGAAACAACGAGCATGCAACGGAAGTGGCCATATTTCTACTGCCATTGTCGCTAGTTCCTGATCCTGCGAATGCTGAGGGTTGGCCACAGGATTCCCTTAGGCCGGAAAAAGCCGCCTTCTTACATGCTGGACGGATGCTGCCATGACGGAAAAGTTCTATCATTTTCGTGATGGCAAAGAATTACGTCCTCAATCCATACGATCAATATGGATATCATAGTGGGCAAATAAGACGCGTATAGGATCAATGTGTGTCTTTGTTGTTAATT